ATTACTGACGTACTAGAGCTTTTATACAAACTCTCCACAGGTTTTCCAGTCATTCCCATTACACCACAGTATTTTCAACAGCTAACAATTTGAGTGACAAATGGAAGTTAAACTTAGTCTTCAGCATTAGCAGTTAAAGTCTTAGCTGAACAGAAAATTAAAGCAAGAAAGTGAAAAGATATGTAAGACCGTCAAATATTTAGCTTTCAGCTACAAAGTATCATACATAGAATTTTGGTGTCAGTCTCCTGGGGTTTCATATTAACATCCATTCATTCATCCATCCAACCATTTTCTTCCACTTACCCGAGATCTGGTCATGGTGGCAACAGGTTCAACAAGGTAGTCCAGACATCCCTCTCCTCAGTGACGTGTTACAGCTCCTCTGGTGGGATTCCAAGGTGTTCCCAGGCCAGATGGGATATATAATCTCTCCAGCATGTTCTGAAAGTACCCCACGGCCTCCTGCCAGTTGGACATGCCTGGAAAACCTTCAAAGGGAGGAGCCCTGAAAGCATCCTGATAAGATGCCCAAACCACCTCCTTTGGCTTCTTTTGATGTGAAGGAGCAGCAGTTCTACTCTGAGCCCTTTCTGGATGTCCGAACTCCGCACCCTAGCTCTAAGGCTAAGTCCGGCCACCCTGCAAAGGACACTCAATTCCAACCCAGAGGGAACAATCGACCATTTTCCGGCAGAGGACCATGGCCTCAAAATTGGAGGTGCTAATTCTCATCCCCATCGCTTCACACTCAACTGCAAACCACCCCAGTGTGTGCTGAAATCCGCACCTTAACATGGTGGAGAGGTGTGTGTGTCCCAGTGATCCTGGGAGCTGTGTTGTCTAGGGTTTCCCAAGGCAAATTGGTCACAGGGGAGAGACCAGACTAAGAGTGATTCAAAACCCTGATGAAAATGGTCACTTCAAGTTGTGCTAGCCAGCCAAGATTAGGGAAACCGGGGCACCCTGCTGGAGCCAGACCTGGGAGGGGAGCTCGCCAGCAAGTGTCTGGTGGCTGGGCCTTGGCTTATGAGGTCTGGTTGGGCACAGTCCAAAGAAATGACATAGCGGTACTGCCCTGTGGACTCATCACCTGCAGGAAAAGGAATCAGGGTCCAGTGCTATGCAAGTTGGGTGGCAGGCTAGGTCAGGTACCTGGGCATGTTGGGGAAGTGGGGAAGGAGATGGAGC